CATGACATTAGAGGTAATACTAAGGTGGGGAAACGTCTCTTCTTATAGGAGAAATATTCCCATGGATTTCAGTATATCTCTGGATTTAAGTTACTTCTCCCTATATAAACAAGTGCTTTTCCCTCTGCCTCTGCTGAAATAACAGGATTACTTTGAATTGTATTGACTGGGATCCAGGAATAATATGTTCTTGGGTTTTGTTCATCAGATATGTGATGTATTGAGTCACAGAATTCTGCTTCAGAGATTGCCATCAATCTGATTCCTTTTAGGAAAGGCAATCTAAAAATCTTCAGGGGGTTTTGAGGTTGTCATTGAAAACGTGCCTCTTTTACAAATGAAAACTTCTTAGAAATTCTCCGCAGAAGAGATTTGTTAATCTTGTCACAGTAGATATTCTGAAAGCACAGAACAATTTCATGGCATTTCCAGATCTTTTGGTGAAGTTTTTTCAGCATGGGGGTTCCTTTGCATTTGTTGGCAGCCACTGTGTGTGTTTGCATTGTTTGAACAGGCAGGTACAATAGAGTGGTGCACTTTGTTGGAAATGTGTGATTTTGGGGCTCCAGAGTTCTGCTTAGAACAGATACTGAAGATATTAAGCATCCAGTTATGCGTACTGTAGGAAATTGTACTTCATACATTGGTGTATAAATTTTAAGGACCAAACCAATAAGGCACGTTACAAAACTCAAAGCCCAATAAAACAATAACTAGAACTCAGCAGAGCCATGTAGTAACTGCTAAGTTTAAATGTTCAGAATTTCCATTCTTTTTAGTAAGTTCCTTTAAAACTTCAAATAGTATATTTTTTTCACTGTACTTCAGATCATTCTTTTGGCAGCAGCATAATATTAGTATTGCATTATTTGTTTTAAAACAAACATTTCAAAATTTGAACTCCAAAGTTGGAAGGCAGCAAAGGAGAGAGTGTTAAAACCTTGTATACAGCCAGTTTATTACTTTAAAATTATTGACTCAGCTGTTTTCATTTGTGGAAGGTTTAGGAATTGTTCTAAGCAGTGTAAATCAAGCCCTTGGCTGATGATGAATGAATGGAGCCTGGTGTCCAAAGCACATTATGTGCTTCAAAGGGGGGTTGTGTTGTTGTTTAGATTATTTTCTCCTCCTTATGTAAATCAGCACAAAAGAATAGTAAGGAAAAGGGCTCAAGAACTTGGAAAGGATCCATCTTTCTTGTTTATCAAGGCTGCTTCAGACTTTTTTCCTCTGGTAGCTACTAAATCTTAATTAAGTTTGTCTTCTGTAATACTTTGTCTCTCCTTTTAGCATCAGCCCCTTCATTCTCTCTTACCGTGTCAGGCAGCTCTGAGTTTGTAAATGCAAATACATCACTGAAGTTCATTTGCATTGTTCTGGATTATTTACTGTATTTTATTTTCCAAGTCAGCATGAAGAGAGTTTTCTACGCTTTTCCTGTGTATAAGCAAGTATATTTTTGGTTTTCATCTGTATTTTTGTCTTCTGTTTGTAAACAACTTTCTTGTTTTAATCATCGATTAGCAGCAGCATTCTTCTCCCTTTCTTCCACTAGTGAACTGTAACAAATCCCTCAATTTTCCACTTAATGTATTGTTACTTTGTACACTGCATTTCATGTTTATGAAATGGATCTTTTTTTAGAAATAAACTGCAGTTCAATTGAGGTACAAATAAGGAAGGTATTGGTGCCTGTTGCAGCAATGCCTTTGGATTTTCAGCTGCACAATTGATTGTGCTACAACCTCGATTATGTTCTGAATCAGTGTATGACTCTGGTTTCTTGGTTGGCTCTAGGACTCAGGCAACTTCAGCTCCTCAGTAGTACCATAAATAAAAACATACTTGAAACAATATACAATGATTGCTACTTACAGATGTGCATTGATTTGCTTGGGACTTTTCACAGTGGTTTTATTGAGGTATCCATTTTCTAGTTCTAGTAATGCTAGGTCTATGCTCTGGTGTTGGGTGAAATCCAGCTGCCCTGAAATCGATAGGATTTTTGGCTTTTGCCTTCTGGTAGGATCAGAATTTCACATGAGTATGTTCACAGTACCCAAATTACATGCTTAGCAAAGAATCTGGTAGTGCTAATTTTCTGTAACTGTAGATAACAATGCAGCTAAACAACTGAAACTTGTTCATCCCTACAACTGGAACAAGTTAGTCTGTGCTCTTATGCAGTGCCTTTTTTAATTCTTTCCAAAGTCTACCAAATGCCACAAAAATGAGTCTTAATGTTAGTTGTCAAATGTTTCTCAGGCTGAGAGGGATTTGTTTCTTCACAATTGTATGTTGAGGGAGATGCATGTAGCATTCAGAAATAGCTCAAAATTAAATTTGTAAGTAAGAATAACTTTAAAACTTACCAAGAAATAAAGTCTTCCAGCTGGTTTGCTTCTGTGGCAGATGGAAAATCCAGAGGCCAAATTGCTTTTGCTTCCTATATTACCCGATGGTGTGGAGTGTTAATCTGCAGCTGGAGCTGAAAACTGCTTTTGTCTTTCTCTGTTAGATCCAAGCTGTATTGAGGAATTGGGTTTCTCCATACGATAACCAAGCTAACTAATCAGTTTAAAAAAAAGAAAAAAAGTAATTCTCCAATATGCGTTATTCCAGGAGAGAGAGAGAGAGATGTTTTTTGAAACTGCAGTGTTTAATTCTCACATGCAGAAGTGCTCTAACCAGCTACAGCTGACCCAGATTCCATATACATCACTTTTGGACAGTGTTTTTTTAAACAAACACACACTCGGCTCAGCCGTTCAGCCCACCTATGATGTCACCGCGAGCACTCGGAGAGCAGAAGAAACTCCTCCTTCGGATTTCCTATCCATACCCTCCAGAAAAGGAGGGGGTAGGGAGGCTGAGAAGTTAGGAACAAGGAAAGATTGTTTGCCAGTAGAAGGGAGGTACCATATGGCAACGGACTGTGCAAGAGTTCAGCAGGCAATTACAAATCAAACATTTTTACTATGCTGCCTAAAGATGCCTTTCAAGTTATTACAGTACTGGGCTTCATTTAGAAGAAAGATTCTTTCAGGCTGATAAAACTCAATTTGTGTTGCTGGGAATAAAAGGGGCAGCCTGGCTGGATACACCAGGAAAAATGAAGCATTTGTAGTCTAGAAGAATGTTCAACAGAATGTCGCATTCAATTCTTGACGTTCACTTAATAAGAAACAGTTCTAGTTGTTAAAGGCATGAATTCTGCAATACATGTGGAAAACGTTAAAACTCTGTGTGTGATGGTTTTGGGTAGGTATCAGAATATTTGATAACATCTGACTGGTGTTAGAAGTAGCAAAAGCCACAGAGATTACACTCTACAAGAAGTACAGGATCTGGGATTGGTCCTGTCCATGCTCAGCCAGCACATGAGTGCATTCAATTTACTGCCATTGATCTTTCTGGTTTCTTCACAATGGCAATGCCAATTACATTTGAAAGAGAATTACCCTTGTACGCTTTCAAAATTATTTTAGAGTTCATAGGAATGCATCCAATAGGTTTAGAGAACTGCTCTTTACAGAAGACTTAGGCTAAAAGAAAAGATCAGTACAAGTCATTCAGAGGTAATTCTACAAATACAGTGGTTTATAAAATCCTGCATAATAGTGCAGGTGCCTGTTACAGGGAATTTCCTTAAATATAGTTAATAAGTATGATTTACTTCCTTCTGTGGAAGATTGAGTGGGTTTGGGATTTTTAAGGCTTGTTAGGACATGGGTTAGTAAATTCAGATTGAGGACAGCTTATGCACTTTAGGTAGCATAGCAATTAAATGCCACTACCTGATGTTTCTGATTATCCTTTCTGTTTTTTAGCAAACTGTTTCTAGGAGAACAGAAAATTGAGAGATTTAGTAGTATATCAGGTCATGAATAATACCTTTTTATTCACTTTTTTATGTGTCACCTTTCAACCACAAGTATTTTAATTTGTTTCTGTGTGTGCGCACACACGTGTGTGTGTGTGAGTGTGTGTTGGTTTTGGAGGGATGCCCAGAGTTTCCCAACTCACATTTGAGGACTGTGCTGGTTAGGTGCTATACAAACACAACTGCTGTTCTTGTGAGGTTGTACTAATAGTCTGCCACCTGTAAAGCCAAAGTCCTTGTTATGATTTTGGTTGTACAAGGCTGAGAGGTAAAGTAAAATAGAGTGTAAAAATTTCCGTTATACTGAAATAAGTTTCTTAAATAATATTATTTAAATTTGTGTCATTTTTAAAATTGCGATATCTGTGAAAGATGCAAGGGATGCAGGCCAATTTCTTTGAACAGCAGAGTTGGTCAGGATATGCTTTGCTTAGTTGAGACAAACAGGTGAAGTTCAAGAAATGGAGTTGTGGTTGGAAATAAAATAAACATTTTATCTACAGCATTAGTGTGTAAGGAGGAGGATTTTCTCTTTACACGATCAGGGGATCGAAGGAGCAGTGCAGGGGAAGAAGGCAGGCAGGGAATATGAAGTGACTTATCTAAAAGGCTGTTGGCTCTTTGGAGCTGTGGTTATTACAAACTGCAGGATTCATCATTTCAGTCTGGCTGCCCATTTTCTCCAAGTTAATCTTTCCCATGTTGCTGAGCTTGAGTTTTTATTCAGCCAGAAGTGTTTTGGGTATAATTTATCCTTCTATTGTTTTTTAATTGCTGCTTTGGTGGAATGAAGTAGTAGACTTCCTAAACAATTAATTTTGATGGTGTATTTTAGTATTGTGTGTTTAGTGTGCTTCATGTTTGTCAAGAGAGTAGTAAATTGGTGCTGTGGAGAAGATGAGGTTTATGAGTAGCTGTGCATGTCCTTGTAATTACTTTTAGATTTCTAAAATTATTTTCCAGGTAAATCCAAACTCCTATTCTGAGACAATGCTTTGTCAACCTGCTTTAATGTTAGTGCAAGCAAAAATGCTTCATAATATTCTTGACGACAGTTCTTTTCCTGCTCAGTGAAAGACATTAAACAAAGAAACTTCTCATTCTAATCTCATTACAGGTATTTATCTGTCAGACTTGACATATATTGACTCTGCCTACCCCTCAACAGCAAGCATTCTGGAAAGTGAGCAAAGAACAAATTTAATGAACAACATTCTTCGAATTATCTCAGATTTGCAGCAGTCATGTGAATATGGTAAGCTAGTGTGTAAATATCACAGTGTGAAAGAGAAGAACTTAAAAAACTTTAATTTTTGTCTGCTGTGATTCAATTTAAATAAGGCTGGACCCCTGTGAATGGCATTAACACTAACCTCATCCTCTCAGCCCAAAAGTCTAGGTTTATTCTAGTATTGTTGGTTAAGACAATCACCCATTAGGGTGAGGAGACAGAATAAAATTGCCTTTCTCTTACACTGAGCAAACTGCAGTATATATTTTCTGATGATAAATGTGTAGTAATACATCATACTCAAGAGTAGTTTTACTGGTATTTATAAGCTTCTATCCCTGTGTTCATAATTTTATGACTGAATTCTAAAAATAGGATTTCTTTTGGAGTAGTACTTTTACTGGAGATAAAATACATTCAGCTTGTCTTTTGGACATTTATAGTTCTGTCCATAGATCAGATAATGTATTTATTTTTCAAAGATGGTTTCCCTCGCAGTCCTCTTCCCATTATAGTGAAGTCCTAATGCTGTGTTTGTGATGGTGGAGTGTGAATTAGCACAGGATTGCTGCTTCCCTGAAAGCTCAGTGTAAAGAGAATGTGGACTATGAAGGGGTCCTCAGACTCCATGTTCCAGTTCTGGGCCTTTTTGGTTTGGCCAAGGATGTTGTTTTACTTTTCCCTTGTGTGTGCTCTGATGAGCAGCTCTGGGGTTTGTGTGTATGGAGACTGTCAGCTCAATGCATGAGAATTGCTGTGAAGTTCTAAAATTTCAGTATCATTAGTGCCTGTAGTTTGTACCTCCATCTCACATAAAAAGGCAAGAGATCTGAATCTGTTCAAATAGTTTCTGGAAAAAACTTAGCTTACCAATGAGTGGCACAGTGTCAATATATGCTGTCTGTTTTCCAGATATTCCTATGTTGCCTCATGTCCAAAAATACCTAAACTCAGTTCAGTACATAGAAGAACTACAAAAGTTTGTAGAAGATGACAATTACAAGTAAGTACAAAATGCTATAAACTGACCATAACTTATTACAATATTACTTATATAACTCAAAGCCTGTCACTTGTGAGATTGCACTTGCATTGGGGAATTGTATTATATTATGTGGGTGTCCCTGCCCATGGCAGGGGGCTGGAACTAGATGAGATTTAGGGTTCCTTCTGACCCACACCCTTCTGTGATTCTGTGGTGATGCACCTCAGACACAGCAGCTGTGAGCAGCTGTGGTTCCAGCAGGATGTTGTGCTCAAGGCACTTTCCCACATGCTGAATGGCAGATCTGCTCCCTTTTCTGTGCCAGACTACACCAAGCCCTTGCTTCAGGTGGGTTTGGTCTGCTGAGAAACATGGCTCACCTGTAACACTGCTTTGTCATTAAGAGGAATCCTGTGGTTGGAGATGGCTCAAGTAATTCTTCAACAGAACAAAACCATCTGTGCATCCAGCCCCAGGTTTTACTGAGGGTGACTTACAGCTTTGACTTGCAGATAATACTTCATTTTATACTTTTCTCTTTGATTAGGTTATAAAGTGTGAGTAAAACGTAAGCACTTGGTTTTTGAGAGGCAAGTTCTCTGCCTGTTCCTCCCACCCTCCCACCCAAGGTTTCCATGTCCTTAATTAAAGGATTATTACTGTAATAAGTGATTTGGCATCCAGCAAAACTGGGGGAGGGAAATCTCTGGCAAGAGACAGGAACTGAGGATAGGAAACACCCTGAGGCAAATCTGTTGCCTATGAAGGAGGGTTTTGTTCATTGGCTGATGTGCTCGAGGAGGTTCCCCACCCATTCCCATCCTGCCCGCCCGGGAAGTTTGTAACCTCAGAGGGCTTGAATTGGTTGCTTGTGCAGCTCCCTTGGAATGGCAGGAGGGGGATGCACACTTCAGGAGCAGCTGTGCTTTGCCATTTAACAGCCCTGGCTTGGATTTACTGAAAGGCAGCAAATGGGGACCCTTCAGTTTATGTCAGAGAGCAGTAATGAGGACTCAGACCCTTGGCTTCTCTTCTGAGCTTTGTAAGTTGTTCTCTGCCTGTCCCTGTGGAAACCTCCACATCACCTTTTTCCTGGGATGTTCTACAGCCTGATTTGGGAAATGCCACTGAAAGTAAAGCTCCGTGGTCAAACATTTGAAGGAAGGAAAAAACATCAACCCAAACCCAAGCTTCTTACCTGCAGTGTCTCCTTAGGACACTGTATTCATGAATTCCCCTCTCCACCTTCTTTCACCTTCACTGGCTAGGACTCACTAGCAGGGGGAATTTGATTGATGAAGGAGCTGCAGTCTCTTCATCCTCTACAATCCATGTTTTGGTAGCAGGGCAGTGACTGGAGACAATGGCACATAAATCAGAAGCGTGGCTGCTGTTCACAGTGTCTGGTTTTGCACTGATGGGTTTTGTACATCTCCAAACTGAATGTTTTTATGGTCAAATTCTTCTTTTTATTTGAAGAATTGTTCTTACTTAAAGTGGGTCTTCTACTTTTCATCCCCTAAGGTGTCTATCAGCAAAAAGGTTGAAGTTAGAGAACAACAACTATGACTTGAATACCTGTTTTTCTTCCTAAAAGCTTGTATTTCAAAAAATTAAATTATAAAATTGTAATGAATCATTGCTATACTGTCTGGAATGGGGGGGAGAGGAGCTGTCAAACTTTAAATTTTTCCTCCCCAAAATAAAATAGATGCTTTTTCAGTGTTAGTAGTTTCAAAGATTTTAGTTCTGCAAACTGTGTGGACAAGATACACTTAATCTTCCTGGAGTTATCTGCCCCTATAGTCTGCCTTCTTTGTGGGCCTGCTGGAAATGGCATTAAAAAGTTACAGAGAAAACTTGAATTATGGCTGAAATCAAGTTGATAATGTATTTTCCAAAACAGAGAAGAGGATTTTGGCTTTTGGACCAGTAAAGACAAAAGGCTTGGTGCTTGGCACACTAGTCCACTTCATAAAAAAATTTAAAATATGAAGTGTTCCAAGAATAAATGTTTTGGCCAAAGTGGGGGAGAAGTTGTGTATTATTTTCAATTTTATTTTTCCCAGGTTTTAGCTGGAGTAGCAGTTTCATGTGTGTGCCAGCCATCCCAGGGCACTGAAGGTCCTGGTGGTCTGTGTGAACCAAAGCAATAGGCAAGAAAAATCAAGTTTGGAAATAGTGTGTGCTAAAGATAACTTTGCACTGTTTGTATTACCTTCATAGTATTCCTTGCAATCACAGAATCAGGCAGCTTGCAATCATAAATTTAAAAAATTCTTCTTCATAAACATATATTTTTATTTCCTGATAAAGTAATTTTTAATGTTTCTTTAATGCAGACTTTCATTAAAGATAGAACCAGGGACCAGCACCCCCCACTCTGCTGCTTCCAGAGAAGATTTAGTAGGTAAATGCTTAATAAATGTGAGAAGACTTGAGGTTGTCATGTGCATTATTTTAGAATTGCAGACGTGGAAAATATTTGCCTGAGGCTATAAAGAAGTGTGAAGTTTAAACACTGCATGTTTGTAATAAAAAAATCTAAAGGTGATCTGTAAAGAAGGAATTGAGTCGTTTTTTTAGGTTCTTGTATGTATTGTGGCACTAAGTTGTTAATGTCATTTGGGGTGAGGAGCTATTAAATATTCATTCTTTGTTGTGTCTAGACAGAAGGGCCTTCATCTAAACTTTTCATGGCATAATATGCTTCCAAAAATGAACATTCTTCTTGATCAATGCCAAAAGTGGTTGAAGGCAGGAGTTTGAAAATGTAGAATCAGTGGGACATGCCCAGTGCTGGTATAGTAAATACAGCCACCTTTAGGACTTGCAAAATACTTCCACTGGATGGTCTATTTCAACTAAGTGTGTTTGGTTTTGATCCTCTGCAAAAACCCTGAAGTGCAGGGGGTTTAATTGTCAATAGATCAAAGAGTTTTACTGATGCTGTCTCTTAGAAAGGGCTTTAGGTTTTGTGCAACTTTTCCATGATGTTCTAAGTGATCCTGACAGTAATTCTGAAGTGACTTGGGAGTAATGTCTTTTTTTCTTCCCAGGCTCAGAAGTTGGAGCATCTCCACATAGTGGAAGGAAAAATGCTGCAGCTGAAGGAGCCTTGCTACCACCAACACCCCCTTCACCTCGGAACCTGATACCCCATGGACATAGGAAATGTCACAGTTTGGGCTACAAGTCAGCATTTTGCTTAACCTAAAAATCCTGAGGTTTTTTTTTTTTTGAAGTGATGTATCATTTTTCAATACAAAAGCTTTGCTTGTAAAAAGCAGCAGGACTTGTACACAGTACTTCACTCACAGAGCAATTTGTGGCCAGGGAGCAAGCTCAGAACTATAATGCCAGTATCCCAGCCAAGGAGAATTAATCAAAATAGGAAGGCTGAAGTTTTGATGATAAGACTAGTCAGTGAGTTAACCAGAATGTCTCTTTCTGAATGATAAAACTATCACTGTTTAGTAACTCAATGCCACTGTAATTATTTCAAATTCAAAAATTATATCACTGCTTGATTGTTATTTTTACAGGGAGACATTCTTTATGGACTGACTTTGTACACTAACTCTGTTTAGTAATGGCTTCAGGCTTTTTCCATATAATTGTACTTCTAATAATATCTTGATCATTATCTCATCATTTCCCTTGTTATATCTTCAAAATGCAAGATTGTAGCTACTCAGTAATGAATAACTTCTATTATTTAAGTTTACTTTTAATGAGGTAGAATGCAGTGCTGCAGTTCAATTATAGAAGTGTTATAGAAGACAAAAATACAGGGTTATAGAAGATAAAAATAGCATAAGATATTGAAAGTAATTGTTAATGTACTCCTGACTTCCTCTTTGTTACACGAGTTTTGTGCACTTTTAAAACTGGAAACTCCTACCAGTAATTTAGGTAAATTACTTTATCAGTTTGTGTACAATTGCTTATGGCTTGGCCATGATTTAGTTTGGCTTTAGGAGCACGCTGCACACAGTCCTTCAGGATGTTAAAGCAACTCCTGGGAGGTCCCAAAGGCGAGGTTGTCACGTTGTGTCCTCGTTGGTTTCTAGTTTCATCCACAAGATGAACACGGCGGAGTTCAAGAGCGCGACGTTCCCCAACGCGGGACCGCGGCACCTGCTGGATGACAGCGTCATGGAGCCCCACGTCCCCTCCCGAGGGCAGGCTGAGAGCTCCACCCTGTCCAGTGGGATTTCAATAGGTAGGAGCTGCTAACACACCCAGGCACTGCCTGGGCTTTTAATAAAGGCTTTAGCACAATTGGCTGGTGATTGAGCAGTGCTGTTCCAAATTACTGCTCCTGTTGTCAAACTAATCTGAAAAATACAGGACAAGGAGGGTGACTTCATTTACACACCATGAACTGAGAAATTATGAAAAATATTTTTGTTTTATTTTTGTTGTTGTTGTTCGGGGGTTTTGATTTATTTTTTTTTCTTTGTCCTTGTTATGATAACAGCTTCTGATACTCCTCTTCCTCAATAGAGGTGGAAGGAAGTACAGGACATGATTTTCTATTACCTTTTTCCCCCCTAAATCAATTCAAGTTTTATACTGGGATTTCTATTTAAAATGCCATATTTACTTGACTGTGTAAATGGCTGACAGTTTTAAGAGCATAATTTCTAAGTGCTTTTGACTGTGACAGAAGATAGAAATCTAACTTTCAAATACCTCAAAATGTCAGAATCTGTTAAATTTTGATAAATTATTTATCTTCATGTATTTAGGGTGGTGCTTTGTTTTGAGAAGTTCTGCTTCCAGAGTTTCCTGTGTGAGAAGAGGTGTTCTTTTTTCCTGTTGCACACAGATCTTTTAGATGGAGGGAGGACAGGACACAAGTGCCTCTCAAATCCACCTGTTTGCAGCCAGGGCTGACAAATGGAACCTCTCACTGCAATCCTTTTCCTCAGAATTTTTTTTTTGATAGAATTCAATGGTGTTCAATTTTTGATGCATTTATGATGATGAAAGATCCTTGTAGCGCTTCACATTTCTTTAGATAACTGAATTTTAAAAACAGTTTTGTTTTTTAGCCTTTGTGGAAGGAAACAAGGTCACAGATTGTCAGATGATGCTGCTTTCAGGAGCTGTACATGTATTTTCTTGAGGAGGAGGCCATATAGAATTAGACCTAAGTAGCTGGTCTGAGTGAACCTGTTCACATCAGCAGCTTCCACTATTTAATGTGCATTGCCTGACTGGTCCCTGCAAGTTCTCTGTTGTGGCAAAGTGTTCCATTTCAAAGCCATCCATCAGGAATGGTGCTTCTCCTCAGCATCCAGGCAGCTTCCTTTCCCAGGGTTTGCATGGTGCAGGAGACCCAAGCTTTTGTCACCGTTGCTGAAATGTAGCATTGCCCTTTTCTCAGGGCAATGTTTTATGGATGTTTTCTATCTAAATGCTTTAAAAATTCTCTGCAGTTGATCCTTTTTCTCCTGAGTAAATTATTTCTGTACCTCCATTACAGCCTAGCAGGGATGGTTTGCCAGAGCTGACAGGCAGTTTCTCATAGGGTACAATTGAGACCCAGTCACCATTTTTATATTTTGGAGAATATAGGATTTTTCTACTTTGTCTCCTCTCCGAATTTTTCAATTCAGTTCTCTAGCTCAAGCATGACCTGACAGGCTGGAACAAAATTGCCATTTTAGAAGACTTGTATAAATGACTTGTAAAACAGCAACCTTGGGTGTTTTGTGCAAGATCAGCATTTGTTGTTAGAAATTCCCCTCTCCCATTCTCTTTCATCTGCAGCCTCCCCATACTCAGTTTTATCACTGTTTTGACAGTCCAGCAGTGGTGTTATTTTTGCTGTTCCTTGATGACGAAAACTTCAATGACAGAAAAGTTTGATAGAGGTGCTAGAAATATATATGGAAGAAGAGGATAGGTTCTGGAGGTTTGCAGTATCTATTACTGCAGAATTCTTGGAAATGTAAGTTGTCTGGCATTCTGTGCTGCTGCCTCAGCAGGATTTAAGGAAGTTGATTGAAGCTGCTGAGTTCCTCCATCATGTTTGAAGTAGTCTGTTTACTCAGGACTTGGAATTAGTACAGTCACTGCAGCAGAGAGGAGGTTTATGGTATTCTACAACACAGCTTCAAAAGACTGTCAGGAAAATGTCTCCTGAATGTGTGTACTGAAAGGAGTGTTATTCCTCACCTTGCCCATAAATGTGGATTTAAACCTGTTGCTCTAGAAACAGGACTACCTTTTTTACATATAAGCCTATATGGGACTTTACTTTTTGGGTAAATGATCCTTCTTCAAAACATGGACAGAGTTTCTGCTATGTCAGCACCTTGAATGTGCCTTTAAAGACAACTGTAATGCTGCTTTAAATCACTCCTGTGTTTTGAGGGCTCAGAGGTGTTTAGACCTTTCCAGTCCTTTCATATTGGAGGATCTGATAGGATCTGCCTCTATTAAATATCAAAACACCACCAGTGTAACAACAGTGTCCACAGGGATCCATCAGCAAGTCTGTAACCTAAAGCACACGTTGAAGTGGTGATGGACATTTTGGTTATGCCCTGCTGGGAAAGGCTGACAGTCCACTCTGGGAATGGTGCAGAGCGTGCCACAGTTTTGACACTCATGTCATTAACCTTTCACAGATGAAGAATATAGTGACTGGGTGGTTTTTATTGCAATGAATGATTCCTAAAGCAGCAGCAGTGCAGTAAGTGAGACAGGTATGGGGTTTGCTCAAAACAGGCTGATCTGTGATGTGACAGCCATGGTCAGAGAACTTTATCAGATTATTTTCCTAATTTCAGCTCTTGGAGGGCGAGTGTGCCTCAACGTTCAACTCATTGTGGAAACAAACTCAAAAATATTAAAGATACAGCTCTTTTATATTTATTTCTTGTGCTTGGGTCAAAACAGTTCTTGTTGCTAGAGCTGTGGGAAGGTGTTATAGCTGATGGTCATGTGTTATGCTGGAATCAGGGAGCTGTACCTCTGGTTCTGTTGCCATCCTCCTATATTATAAATAGGTGCTTGTCATCTGGACAGAAGATTTTAAAAAGTGAGAAATCTTTTTCCAGCAGTGCCAGGGCTATCCTAGTAAGAAGGAAGAAACACTTGTCCAGTCCCATATACAGGGTTAGATGAGAAATGTTCTCTTGAATTCAGGAGTGTAACAAGAGAAAATAGTCTCTTTAAGTTTTAGGTATTTATAAAGTAGATGACTACATTTGAGCTAGTTACAGTTGGAGCTCTTTATAAAAATCACTTAGAGAATTGAAATCCTCAAGGATATGATTCATCTCATTCTTAGGTGGGTGGCTAAAAAGAGGTTATATGGCTTGAGTCCTTAAAACCCCACTTTATTTCTGTTGATTGCAGACACTTTTGAGAGACAGCACAAGGAAATACAGACAGATGAATAGTGCTGAAAATGTCTGTTTTGTGCAGACAGTCCAGAATATGTGCTTTTAGTAGATTGGGACAGATGCTTTTACTTTGCAGTGGAAGTTCATTGAGAGGCCCCACTCACTGCTATCAGCCAGGCCTAAAGCTACAACGTGGTTTTGTTCTTGGAGGGCTGTGTTTGGATGAGGTCACTGTTTGGGTGAGGTCACTGTGTACACTCTGCCCTCCTGAGGTGTGAGCATTGCTCTTGGCTGGCTTCAAGGAACCACCTGCACACTTGTACCACCTGTTCTCATGCCTGTATTTGCCTCCTGTCACCTCCTCACCCAAAAGTAGGATAAATTAAGATGATTTTACTAGATCCTGGTTCCACTCAGAAATAGCATGAAACTTCCTTTAATTCATAGGATATTTTTCCAAAGAATATATGGTTTTCTATTAATTCCCAATTTTCTTGCACTTTTAAAGTATTTATTGCTTAAGTGTGCTCTTAAGTATCTTTGCAGGAATGTTCAGCTTGTTTCATGAATGTTCGCAGAAGCTTTGGATTTCTACCATTTCTTTCCACCAATTTGTCTTTGCTGTGTTACTGAATTTCTTAAGCTGAGGTTGTTTACAATGGCAAATTGTTCAGATAATTCCTAAGCAGTAAAGGGAGCTGTGTAAAACAGGCCCTTCTTTTCATGCATTGCTTCTGTGTGGCTTTTCTCCTCTTAGAGCATCTAACCTAGAGGATGCAAAGGCATTTTACTAAGGAAGTTATTCTTTGAGAGTGCTCTCTCATGTGTGCCACTTCAAAACAGAGTCAAGGTATGAACACAGGAACACTGCTGAAATTGAGATGGTAACTTGAGGTGTTTAAAAATTCAAAGGAAACAATAATGGGTTGTGTTTATAGCAGTGTTGGATTAAAATTCTTTTTAAGCTATTTTTCCCCAATTATTTTTCCTGATCTGCAATGATATGGATGAAAGCTCTGGAAAAACTAGAACTCTTGAACATTTGCCTTTGTTTGTGTGTTGCAATCGCTGGAGAATAACTTCAGCCTTTTTGTTCTAATGCAATTGGAGGAATAAATGCTCTAGAGTCAAAGAAAGGAATTCTAAATCAGTGTGAATTAATGTAAGTGCCGTTGTAAGAACAGTACATTTCCAAACTAAACTGGATGAAATACATATGAGATTTAAAATCAGCTTTTTAATGAATTCCACTATTAAGTCACCACCTCGAAGTTATTGAATTCTACAAGGGATTATATTTCTCTTTAAATAAATGAAGTATAGGTGTAGGTACACAGTGTATGCATTTACTTTCAGGGGTCTTGGCAGCCTGTAGAGTAGGGTAGACCTTTACACAGCCACTGTTTGTTTGATTCTTTAACCTGTACTGTGCTGTTCAGGTGTGGAGGACTGAGTCATCAGATCAGATTTCAGGTAGGGTTTCGGGCAGAAGAAATATGTCAGGTTTATATATATATTTTCTTTATACGAGTGTATGGATACCTGTCTTTTGCCTTAAATGTGGATACCCAGACATGCTATTGTGAACTACTGCTTCTTTAGTGATAGGATAAATTAAAAAACTGTATAATATTAGAGGTTTAAAATGCACATGTAGGTGCCTGGATTTGAGAGGGGAAGATACAGTCTAGCCCTCCAGTTCTTCCCCAAGAAGAACTTGATGCTTTCTTGGTACTGTTTGGTCCCAGGCTCACTCTCTGGATGTGTTTACATCAATGTAGTTACACAAACCCCCTGTTTCTGCCCCATCTTTATCCATTTGGTTATTTGCTTTTGCTTATTTTTCACAATGAAATTCAGTGATGGTATTAAAAGTTTCTATCAGTTCTCTGGCATGATATTGCCAGAGTTGCTGCCATCTGTATTTGGTGAACTGGGGAGCCAGAGCTGAGCTGCTTAAACTGAACTTAAATAGTTAAATAGTCATGAACTGCATATGAGGATTTGCAGTGTGGTTGTGAGCTCACCAAGCAGAGCAGAGCTGTCAGGGCATGGAGCCCATCTCTGAGGTGCTGGCTGGGCTGGGCTGTGCTGCAGCCATGGGTGTTCAGGCCTCTTGACCAGTTCTGTGGTAGAATTTTCAGTTTTCATGGTAGAATTTTAGCTCTGCTGGGTCCATCCCCAGCTCTGGAAATGCAGTGTAACCGGAGCCAGGAGAGTGTCGATGACAGATTTGGGAAGGGGAAAGAATTTTTAGTCTGAAGACTTTTTAAACTCTTTGGGGTTGGTTTGTTTATATTAACACCTGTTTAACTTTGGGGACTAACTTCTGGATAAAGAAAGCCTGTGTTAAGTGTTCAATATCCCCAGACTTGGGGCAGCGAGTGGGTGCCGTGACCAGGGGAGTGGATATGGGATAGCACAGGCATTCCCTATCCCATAACTGGGAACCTCATGCTGTTTGTGTGCCTGGAGCACAGACATCTCACAGACATCCATCTGCCTGTGCACATCTGCAGATGTGAGCAGAAAATTCACATCTGAACAGAGCTGCAGTGCTGGGGCTCTGCAGACAATCCTGAGCCTTCTCAGATAATCACCAGCACAGTTAGCAAAAAAGCAATCTTGCCAAATGCTGTTATTCCTAAGATAGAGAAAAAGCCTTCATAAAGACTTTATTTTATTTCAATCCTGAACCATAAATTTATTAGCAATGAAGAAAACTAGGAAGATAGTGTTTTAAGTGGTTTCTTACATAAAGCCAAAATTTGTTTAGAACTGTAACTAACAGAAAGGGCTTATACTACCTAGGATTTGTTATTAAGTTTAACCTGAAGAACTTGCTTGAGGTTGTTGGAAAAACTCAAATATTTAGTACATACTTGGGAAGAATTTAAGAAGGTGATATATTTTTAGAGTACTGAATGAATGAAATATTTCCAGTTGAGGTGACACTCAAATAGTGCACTTAATGTTTAAACAGAGCTTGGCTAGACATCTAACTTTTATTAAGTTAAAAACAGTCCCTTTTACCTCTGTTTTGTTTTGGAAGGAGGGATATCAGGTATTTTGTTTTGCTTTTCAGGAAAGGGGTGTTTTTCAGTATCAGAACTTGTCTTGCAAAGTATCTCCTAGAGGGTTTTAGAATCTAAAAAATCCTGTTAGAGATGTTTTTATATGGGTGTTAGAGGAATAGTCAAACACTAAAATTAAACCTTTTCCAGGTTTTTGTTATAATTTTTACAACCCCTGCAGGCATCAATGTCAATGTTAAATCAATTGCTATGATGTTTTGTCCAATTTTTTTACAAATTGATGTTCCTTTTAAGTGTAATTGTTAATTTCTGTATATATTTAACTTTTTAAGTGAAACCTCTGGTTTCGAAAGTCCCCAAATTCCTGTAGGTTTTCTCATGCTGTACTGATACTGATACAAAGGAACTTTGTAATTTTGTGATAGGTGACATTTTAGCTCTTGATCTAGATTGCTTTGCATTTTTACAAAGCAGCTCTAGCTTTTAAATCTTTCTGTAGTGTACTTAGCACAGCAGTTGAATATTACTTTATTAGCAAAGCTGATACAGTTGCCATCAAAATGTCATTTCAGGTAGAATTTTAATGTATCAGCCTGCTTTAAATGCAAACAATAACTTCATAAGGCTGTCTTATTAGGGGGTTTTAATTGTATTGATCTGTCACAGGGGCCTAAATTAAGTAGAGCTCTAGTCATGTGCTTCTTGCTAATACAAAGCTAAATCTAAGCAGTAGTAAGAAAATAAATAAGATTCTAAGTTTCCCTAATGCTTTCAGTGCTGGCTGAATGAATTAACAGAAATTGCTGCACCATTTTGCAGAAAAGATTGCTCCAAGTAACCACAAAGAAAACTTCAATTATATACAAGGGAAGCTATTTTCATGTTGGGGTTGAACTCTACCATCCTAATTGTCATTCCAGCTGCTGAAAGGATTTCAGCACCTTAAGGTCTTACTGTGGGAGATGGTACCACAAACAGCCTTCCTCAAAGACAGCCAGCTGGGAGGCCTTACCCAAAATGCCTGCCTAAAGTTGTTTCTGAATTGTTGCATCTGATTCTGTCTCCTCATCCCCAAACCATGCCACTTATAAATTAGAAGAGACTTCATGTTTTGCCTTGCAGAGAATGCAGCTGTGGTTTCATTAGGATGGAATAAATCACTGAGCTTTTCACTGTGATGTGAATTGTAGAATTTGCTGGAAGTATTGAGTGGTAGTTGTTTCTTCCAGGAAATGGTAAGGACTTTGCAAAGACTGCTGCTGTAAGAGCAGGCTCCACCTGGACAGGTTACTCCTCTGGTTACTCCTTTTTTTTCTGGGATAGTTCATGATTTACCTGGTAGTCTTTCTGTAGAGAAGTACCTGGGACAATGTGGAGCTCAACCCACACATTCTCTTTTCCACATTGCAGGTCAGGTGTAAATTGTGCTGAGCAAAACTTCTGATTATTGTTATGCCCCCTCCTTTGCTCACCTGCCCTGTGGCACCTGAATGTTTGCTGATAGATTCAGTCTGAGAGGGTCACCTGAAGTGCCAGCACTTACTCAGCTCAGAGGAAGTGCAACTCAAGCAGAGTAACTGTGCTACCCTTCTGTGCCCAGAGCTACCTGCTGCTGTCACCCTCCCTGCAGCTGAATGCTTAAGGATCACTGATCTGTAAATGGAAGCACTAAAAACTTAAAGGCACTTCTAGAAAGTAATGCAGGTTACCTGCTGAATATTTTACCTCCCTGCTTACAGCCCACTGCAACATCACTTCTGTATTTCATAGCTCCTTCCACTACACAAATGGCTCTTCCTGTAGAGTTGGTGTGAATCAGGTTTGCCTTTAGGAAAAATTCAGAATAAGCTGAGACCAAATGATCTAGTATCCCACAGAGGTGGTGTTAATATGTGGATGTTGAGCTAATGTTTGCAGAAGAGGCATCTCAGTTGAATTGGCTGGCAGATAAAGGCTTGTATTTTCTCTTAAATTTTGCACAGAGGGAACTTCAGCCCATGCTGAGATTTTCATGGCTCTTGGCTGGAATTACCCCTGCTGTGTGTAAATCTTTATTGCCTCCATCTTTACTCTCTGTTTACTCAGTGAAGATCCAGACCTACTTTGTACACATGATTTTTTAGGGCACTGCTTTTCCCTGCTGATTTTCTGTGTAAACTTACAGGGAACTGGTTCCCATTTTCAGCCTCTGTTTCTCTGAGGGAACTTTTGAGTAAGGAACATTGATTCAGATTTTTTGTTTGTTTTCTTATTTGTTTCAAAATAATTGTATTATTTTATTGCTTCCCTTTTTATATGGGTGTTCAGGCAGCAGACCAGACAAGGTGGCAAGTTAGTGTGCCAAAAGGTGGCTTCAAGCATTGACTGACATTGAATTGCACTGATATTTAGGCTTTGGGATTATCTGGAGCCAAAAATGTTGGTTTGAAGTGTTCAACAAGGCTAATAGCTCCTGTGGGCAGCTAGGGTGGTCTGAAAGGTGCAGAGCAGCAAGGCACAGATTGGAATTGTGTATAAAAGCTGCTGATTCCTGTTAACAGCATCCCTATTGATAATTATTTACTGATTTTTAACATTACAGATAGCACCCACCTTGTCTCTATGTTTAAATGCTTATTTTCAGACTGATGGGATTTAGTGGAATTGTAAAGTTACTGTCTTATTTATGGGACTGCCATGAGTGGATGCATCAGACTTTTGGGATTTTCCTCTATTTTCAGTGTTTAAAATAAAATGTTTCTGGATTAGTTTACAAAGCACAGAAGGAAATAATACTCTTGTGATCTGATAGAGTAAGTGGGAGATAGCTTTAAAAATTGTTTAAGGCTTCTCAAATTATATACTGGAGATTTAACAATGAATTTACACCTCTGTGTCATGACTGTGTGTGACTTGATAAGAAACTGTTTAAATAAGTGACCTATTTTTCTAAATGCAGACAAATCTGTGTTTAGGGTGTTCTTTATATTCTGAAAATAAGGTTCCTATTTATTAGTGCTACTTTTCTTTAACTTATTAATGTGGAACTAGACCCTGTCCCTTCAATCTCCATCTCAGTGTATGTGAAATTCCTGAAGCAAATCACAAAGTGTTTTCCTTGTAGTATTTTACTGAAGTATTTTTTTGCATTTCATCTTAAATATTCTGATATTCAGAATCTCAAATATTCTGATTTGTTTAGATACAATTGACAGACATGGTTTGTAGATGAAGAAATAATGTATCATCTGTTGTTATATTTCTCTAGGTAGCAGTGATGGTTCTGAACTCAGTGAAGAGACTTCCTGGCCAGCATTTGAAAGGTAAGAAAAATTGTGGTTTTGTGTTTTTCTATTCACATTGTTACTTAGAGTCTCTCACTCAGTCCTCAAAATGATGCTTTTTTTTACTGAACTAGAGATCTTCTGCCTGTTAGAACACTAAAAATCTGTAGTAAATTCACTGGATCTTTTAAAGCAGCATAGAAACACCTTCTGCTCACTAATGGTTATTAGGGGGCTTTTATCTAATGGGGTTATTAGGACTTTTCTCTAATTAGGTGCTTACTCAGTGCACATATCCTTGAAGGAGCTCAGCCAGGGAACCATTAGACCCCAAAGGTTTTATATATGTGTATATCACATGTGCTGTTTGTGTTTCTGATTTTCATTTTCACTTTCCCTGAGACACCCATCTGTTCATAGTCCCTTTGCTCTCTTGTCATTGACATTGTCACCTCTTTTTCCTTCATTGTTACACAACAATGCCCCTTGCTCATGTCTGACTTTGTGGTCCAGAATTAACAAGTTGTTCCTTTTCCAGCACCTGGGAGTGCTCAGGTGGCATTGACCACTTCAGCCCATTCTCATGTTGTATTTGAGAGTGTGGAAAAAGACAAACAGCTGTAGTTTAACATAGAAAAAGGGGCAATATTCACCTTCCCACAGCTGAGTAAGATGCACAGTACAGTGCATTGCTTGCTTCTATAACACAGTTTCAGGTAATCCATCAGTTTCAGAGTTGCCATGGATGACTTTTCTACCATGCTTTTACATTTTTCATAGGAATTTTTGTCAAAAAACATTGTCTTTTTAGCTGGGAGCTGTTACCACAAACATATTCTGATTGAACTTATTGAAGCAGTTAAAAGTTCTGTCTTAATTTTGGAAGAAGTCTTTGAAAATCTCTCTGTGCCAAAGGTGAACTTCTGGATGCCTCATGCCTTAAATATGAGTACATACATGAGGAAAGGCCCTAAAGAATTTCATCAGGTAACATTCCACATGAGCAGAGAACACAAATGGGGTCAGAAAGGCAATCTCTTCACTTGCAAGCTGCATCACAGAGCACATACAACATTCAAAAGGTTTCTTTCTTTCCCTTCCTTGCTGCCTTATGGAATTGTGTATTGGTATCAAGTTATTTCTCAAAGATAAAAAGTCATTAAGTTAGAAAAAATGGTGAGTTGAGTGTTATTACCCAGAGCAGCATAAGAAACTTTGAAATTTAGGTTTAAACTTATGATAACACTCTTCAGAATTGTTGTGTGGACTTCTGAGACAAAGCAGGGACTTTTCATTCCTGTGCTAATGAGAGCTGGCAGCCCCAGGCTCCCCCAGTTAAAATGTTTGCTCCATGTCAAACAGAAGATTCCTCCTCCAAATTCCACTTGTCTTCTGTACTTCCCTCTCTCCTGAGAGAGCTTTTGGGAGCCCTGTTGGAGATTTCTTGTGTTTCAGGGTGAGTTCTCATGCCTGTTGCCAGGGAGAGGGATAGGATTCCTTACAGACATTCCCAACACCATGTGTGAAATTCCTAGAGATCTGCAGCAACCTTGAGTCTGTTCCTTGCTTTATAAGATGATGAGGCTTGTTTTAAAATTTAATAGGTAACACACTGACATGCAAGTGTCAAAATTTAAGCCAACTAGAGAATGTCTCTCTCTGGTTTTGGTCTGTACAGTGAAGCATAGTGGTTTCCATTCTTTATAGAAATATTTAAGTGAGGGAGAGGCATTAGTTGCCTGGAATTATCAACTCTGGCAAAACTGGGATACATCCAGTGTTAATGAATGTTTTCTATGCAGTGAAAGTAGGAATTCAGTATTTCTCTGTGTTTTAGGAACATCTTTGGGTAGGAAGGCTTAAATCTGCATCGTAGCCCTTAAGAGGATGAAAACAATTCCTCCATACACAGATTCCCCAAGTAACAGAAGGAAATGTAAAATGTGTTCTTGTTTTTCCTGGCCTTTCTGCTTGTAGCTGAGGAATGCAGAAGGGGTGAAAACTAAAGCCACTGATTGTTTTTAAATGCAACAGAATCTTAGTTTGAAACTTGAGAAAGAGTTTTCAGCATTGGAGTGTCCCTTAAGGCCAATCAAAATTACTGGAAGGACTAAAATTTCAAGTCCTTACAGTTATATCCTGTTAAGGGCAGTGTATTAAGTGACACTTCAGTCTCACTGGTTGTCATCCTGAGTGTCTCTGAATAGATTTCCCTGAAATAGCAGGATTCCAAGAGTGGTAGCCTCCTTGTTATGCAATAAAAAACTTAAAGCTTAAAGGTAAGAAGAAAACATACTTAATTTGCATGCCATATGTATACAAAAATAAGCAGCTCATTTTACTTTATTTTTCTTTATTGTTTTATTTGCCTGTATCTTGAGTGTGCTCTGAAAAAAAATTCATAAGTTCAAAGATATCTGCTGTGTTGAGAAACAAAATGGCAAATTGTGGAACAGGTTAGTAGATGGTGATTCATTAATATCTTTTTGATATTGATAATAAGGCTTGTACTTAACTGCCTTCTCCCAAAGAATTGCTGATCTTCAGTCTTTCAACAGAATACAAGCAGCTAGAAAAATGGATAGAAAAAGGATGTGAGGACAAAGTGCCTCAGCAATGCTTATGTTGACTTAAATGGAATTCAGTCAATTAAAAGGATCTGATTCAGAAAAATAAAGTTCAGTGAAGCAAAACAGTGTTCTAAAGGCAGGTCTGGGGCACAGTGACTGAGTAGGGATAACAGGATGGATCAGGTAAATGAATTTAAAATGTGGAGCTTACAGGTCAAGTGTACAGCGTAGATGAACTGGAAAATTGAAATATTGCTGAACTGTTTTCCATGTTACTGAGCACAACAGGATTTTAAGCAATGTCAGGTGTATTTTGACAGAGCTTGTGGTTCCTTGCAGCCCAACAGCTTCTGTGTTTTCATACTCATAGAAGTGAAACTGGTTTTGTAGTAACATCTAAAGTCAGATTTCAAGTTTTATCAATATGGTTCCTTTACATTTATTTAGTCTAAGCTAAATGCAGACTTTGCCCTAAAAATGTGTTAATCTTCAGTGCCAGCAAAACACTTCAGTATTGTGAGTTCTGACAAAGAGAAGATCTGATGAAATGAAAAACCATATTATTTACTTCTGCATGCCTTTTTCTAAATAAAATTATTTGCTTTTTTGTACATGGAAGAAGTGGCTTTGTGATATGCACACGAGCAAAGTTGTGTGCAGTTGTAGCAGTGGTGCTGTTTGTGTGAATGACGGTATTTGTAACACATCCAATTTATAATGGAATCCAACAGGAACAGGTTGTACCATTCTCTCGGCCCGGGGACAAGAGTGTCACGAAATGGCCATCGAGGCCACATGAAGGCCAGCAGGTACAATCCCACTGCACACAGAGGTGTCAAACCTTCCCTCTGCTGTTGGTGATTTGGTTTGGTTTAATAATTAAGTGGGTGTTTTCTGATGTTCCCTTTCTAACTTGTGTGTCAAAATAAAGGTAGAGACCTTTTTCTTCAGACTTGAAACTTTTCCCTTCAATGACTTACTCTATATCAGCCTAAGGACTGTTCATTCCAGTCTGCAAATCCAAATTCTGAACCATTGGATCTTTCTATCAAGGCTAAAGATGTTTTGCCAGGGTAGCTTTTGAACTGCCTGCCACTGTGGAGCAGTGCTGGTAGTTCTCATGGGGAAACAAAGCTGCTCCTGGTGCTAATGGATGACATTCCAGATGTTTTCTTTGCTGGCAGTTCTGTTTTGAATTTCTTTGCTCCGCTTCCCTGAAATCAGAGAGATGCCTAAAATGAGTAACACATTCAAATTGCCCCCAATTTATGTACACATAATATTTGCAAGCTGACAGAGTAACATGACTGATTGTTCTGATTCCTTATGGATACTGATTCTGTCTCCAGCTGTGTCACTGTAGTTGGGAAAGAAATTGCCATTACCTGTGAAACCTCTGTCATGTTAAGAAGCAAGCATTGTCTCACTGAATTAAACCCATGTTCACATCTGTCAGTGTCCAAAATTGTCTCCATATCATCATCCTCAGTAGGTGCTGCAGTGAAAGTGTTTGTCACATTTCCAGTTTACTTTGGACATAGGATGGATGAAACAACAAATCCTGGCTTCCTTCACCATGATTTTTGGGTGCTATTCAATCTCTTGGCTTTTCTAGAAAGCTGCTGGGTTCAGCACTTTATTTACATGCTCTGATTGACATTCACTGAAATTATTCCTGGTGTAACTTTTCTCTGATGGGAAATGTTTTTGAAGCCAGTCAGCTCTGTAATTTTAATCAAGCTCAGTTTTCTTTCCTCAGTGCTGTACCTGGCCTTTGTTTCAGCCCATTGCTCTCCAATCCTTTGTAGGGCAGATGATCAGTAGAGCACCAGTTGCATTAAAACACCTTAAAGCTGTGGTTTGGGTTTCTACTCTTTATTCCTGCTCCCTCCCACTCTCCTTGCTTTCAGATACTTTAAGGATTGTGCATGTTTGAGCTGTGCTTTGTTTTTGATGTGCTAATGGTTCTGGTGTTTCTAACCAAAAAATAGTCAAATCTTTCCTGCCAGGGCTGAAGGAGAGGTTTAACATGTACAGCAACTTTACCAATGTACTTCAAATGTTTACTTTTTAAAATTAATTTTTCTTGTCTTTCAGTCGTGTTTTAAGTTTTAATTTTTTTTAATTAAGGATTACCTGCTTGGCTAATTAATTTTTCTGATCACTTTTGCTTGCGAGTGTTAATTCCACAACAGCAATTCCTTGTAACAGCCAAAGTCTTTTTCCACAATGAAGTCAAATAAATAGAAAGTTGATGTTTTCAAATTACAATGAAGGTATTTGCATTAGTTTTTGGTAATGGTTGGAAAATTACTTTAGGAAAAATATTTTTTCACACAACTCTTCACATGCTCCTTTCAGCTCCCTAGAATCTGAAGATTTGGCTGTTCATTTGTATCCAGGAGCAGTTACTATTCAAGGTGTTCTCAGGAGGAAGACTTTGTTGAAAGAAGGCAAAAAACCTACAGTAAGATTTTTTTTTTAATAAATTCATTTTCTCACCTTCTTCCTTTGCCCAATTATAAACACAGTAAAATGACCATTGGGCAACTAGTTCAAGTGTCTGTGATCTCCTCTGCCCTGCTGATTAAGATGTAGGGTCATTGCCAGAGTTTCAATCCTTCTGTTTGGTGCATTTAGTCAGTTTGTAAGGCTATACACATAATCTAGGAAATAGAAGAGAAGAGGATGCTGCATAAAATTTTCTACACTTACTGATGACTTTAAAATGGAGAGAGTCATGTTTTGTCTTCCTTAACAGTAGGTAAATCCCAGCAATCTATCAATAGATGATAACCCTTAGCAATTACATTGCAAATGCTTGATGATAAATTATAAATCAAAATAAATATTCAGGACAATGGGGGATACCTTATGGCAGCACCTAAGATGGGAAAGGAAAGGGGCAGATGAACTCTGACTCCACAAAGTGTTCTGTAGGGATTGCAGGAAGTATAGAGCAAGATGCAGAGCATTTTTGTCAGATTAGAGAGGAAAGGCACATGATCTTTCTGCTTTCTGGAGTTTTCATGCATTCATAGGCCTGCATGAGTAACAAACAGCAGCTTTGGAAACATGGCTGATGCTTGGCTGGACAGTCAGTGCTCTCATGTTCTTGCAGGATGGTGCCTCCTCTTTCAAAGCTCAGTGTTATGAAGCATTTCACTTACCCATTGCACTTCTAGGTTTGTTTGTTTGTTTTCTCTGCAGGTAGCATCTTGGACAAAATACTGGGTAGCACTGTGTGGAGCCCAACTCTTCTACTACGCTGCAAAATCCCTGAAGGCTACAGAGAGAAAACATGTATGTAAAGCAGACATGTTCCAGTATCACCTGCCAAAACTGAAATGTGATTTCCTGATGTAAACTCTGAGAGTAGTTCATGCCTTGCCTGATTTCTAGTCAGCACTATCCTGTCTCCCAGTCAGTCAGTCACCTCATATGGATACACCCCAGGGAAATATCATTTACATTTGTATGCTACACCAAGAACATCTGCTTTGCATCTGCCATGTGTCTCTGACTTTGCTGGTCTTTCAGGAGAGGAACTGTGACATTGGTCTGTCCATTTTCAAAGCTCTGTCTTTGGATGATTTCAGTCTTGCAGCAGTTTGTCACGGTTTGAAATCCAAACAAGCACTGATGAGGGAAAATTGAGCAGTCACAAGATAGAACAATTAAACATGTACTGATTTCGTCTGTGTGGTAAAATTAGACCATTTGGTTTTTCTGTATAATCCTGTAAGCCATTAGCTGCAGTGAAGTACCAAACACTTCATCTGCTCAGCAGAGAGCTGCAGTGTCAGATGATGCTGGGACTCCTTTTATTTGCTGCAACTTGATCTGAAAGAAGCTAAAAATGCTTTGTTTGTGTGGGGAAAGAGCAAGAGGATTTTCTGTATGGATGTTAAGATGTGCATTGTTCCTATTTGATGTCCCTAGTTAATTGTAATGATTTTTTTAAGAAACTGGGTCAAATTTGAGATACTCTAATCTGAGTTCATTCACTACTCAGAATCATGACTTGGTTGCCTTGGTAGGTGTTTCAGGTTAATTTATGCCATCCCTCACTGTAGAACACTTGCTTTGCATAGAGCTTTTGGAATTTTGCAGAATGAGTTCTGCTTTTGGGATCCTTGTGAAGGGGACTGTGGTACAAAATGCTATTTTCTTATTCTAACATTTTTATGTGCAGAGCATGGAGATTTGACGCTTAACATTTCTGGTTTGCATGCTCCTGCATATTTGAAGTTGCTGTGTGGAAAGTTTGTGTATAAAATTCTCTTAATCTAAGAGATTATTTCCTTCTTTTTATTGGAAGTTCATTAGGAAACAGTATTCTAATGCTCATTACTTTCAGAACTATTTATGTGGTTTCTTGGCCATCCACCCCTACTAGCTTTGCTTAGGTAAGATTGAAACTGATCCTTCTTAATTTGAACCTTCAGGCTGAAGGTTCATTAGCCAATCCTTCTGTCTTCTGGGTGTCTTGGGAGAAGTGTATGTGTTTGGATGCATTTGTTTCTGGCTTCAGTGAAAACTTTAGGGAAGGATTCCACCTCATTAAAAGGAAAGAGCAGACTTGTAAGCTCTTATGAGTAGAAATGCAAAGTATTAAAAAATAAGAAGGAACCAGAAGAGAACTTTTGTTGGCATTATGTCACTCACAGCTAGTTGCCTATTTTTTCTGGAAACACTGAGAAATGGAAAAGAAATTTTTGTGGTAATGTCAGACTTTGTGTTCCTGTTACTGCTGTGATTCCTTTGGGCTTTGTGCCAAAATTGCATTTTGTTTTCTTTTAGGAATAGAATGTGTATTTGTAAGTCTCTCTGGTTCACTGTTCTTTACAAAATTATGGAGGATTTTACCAGACTTGTATCTATTTATTCAGAAGCTTTTTCACTCTTCTGTGTTAGCATTTGGAAACAATCTAAATAGCATGCAGGTTTAGAGAATTTGAAAAAATTAGTTAGCAAGGAATTATATTGATTGGAAATTAAGTATATAAATTTTGCATTCTTTACCTGTTTCCTTCAGAATAACAATTTCAATAATTTAAATAGTCTTACCCTTTCTTCAGCAAAAGTAAATGAAAGAAAAAGGGAAACAGTCTGGTACCTGATCCTTCTGAGTCCCTGTTCCTGTAAAAGCCTTTACTTTGCCTGGAAATACAGTCACATCCATTTACAGCGCTCTTTCAGAGATTGTTTTCTAAACCTCTTGAATTGACTTCTGATATTCTCTGAGTCTCTGATATGTTGTGACACCTACAACATCTAAACTGCTGGTGAAGAGAGGCTTAAGAAGCCAAAATCTGTCTCACTTGCTTGTGTGCTTGTGTTTCTTTGTTCAAGAGTGAAAAAAGTGGTTTGTTGTTCCAGCAAACCACTGAGAAAGTTTGCAAACAGAGGTGAGGAGGTGTTGGGGTCCAGGATTTCCCATCTGGAGGCTACCAGCCTCGTGGCTTGCAGAGAATGAGAGGAGTTTGAGCAAGGCAATTCCCAGGAAGAGGAAGAGGAGTGGTAGTCGAAAGCAATGATTGCTGAAGAACATTAATTCCTTTTTAATAGCTGGCTCTATGAAGTTGGCCTGAACTGTCCAGCACAGCCTTGGAATTGGCTGTACACAGCTCATGTCTTGCTTTCAGCTTTTTAGGGTAGCAGACAGGCTCTGTTCTGTTTGTGGATGCCAAGCCTGTTGTGGAGCTCAGCCTCCAATTGGTTTCCCAGGTGCAGTTGAGGTTTATCTATTGTAATAACTGTTTACTACAGTTTGGGTTGTCTTTTATTTAAACAAATAATTTGCAGTGAGTAGTCACAGCAAACCTCTGCTTCAGAGGTTGTTATTATCACAGAGCATGACCTTTATTTTGAAATTAGAGTGGGAAACCTGGTAACTGCTGTTGAGACAGAGGGATTGGTTGCTGGATTCCAGTCCATTAAACAGGCTAATAATAGGTGGTCAGTAACTTGTACAGCTGCTCTGCCTGTGTTGATGGCATAGGTTTCCATCCATTTCACTGCAGATTTATTGTACAGAGCCTCAGCTTTGGTTCTGGAGTCTGTGGAGGTGACTTGTCAAGGGTCATGCTTCAGTTCACGTTTGGTTGCATTTTCAGGAAAAGTTAATCAGGAGAGAATGAGCTGCAGATGGTCAATCATCCCTAGATAGCTAGAGCATGAGTAAATGCTCCAGATACTGTCCAGTAATATTCCCAAGAGTTTCACTCTGCAAAATGAAGAGATCCAAGGCTAGTTTTAGGCTTTGGGGTTTTTTACTTACAGATAAAAAGGATGATGCCATCTACTTTGGAGCAGGTTTCTTTTTCAAAATTTAATACATTGGAGATTTACCTCAGCAAAATATTCCAAGCATCTTCTTGAGCCATTTAAACATCTGTCTTTTCTGCTTCCTTTCTCAAGCCCTCTGTGACATGGAAAGGAACCCTGGCAACAAAAGGCTCAGTCTGCTATATAAAGTTTCCTGGCTGCAGCTCTCAGGGTAAACGTGTCTTGATTACAGGCATGCTTTTGACCATTCTGCTGCTGCAATTGCTCCAGGCAGCTTGGAATGCATCGACACTCAAAGCTCTTCCAGGCTTATAATAGCCAGCTCTTTGGAAAATTACCTCATAAAAATCCCAGAGTAATTTCAGCAAAAGGGGCAAGAAATCCCCTCCCTTTTAGACAGAGACAAGCCAGCTCTTCTCCTGCCTGTGGTCAAAGGCCAAGGAGTGCATCCAGTATTGTGTGCTGCATCTCCTAAGACTAACAGCATAACATCAGCATTGAGTTTAAATAGTGAACAGGTTTCAGTTATTACTACAGTAATGGAGAATTGTCTGTCAATAAGTATGTGAACTTGAGAGCCCAGAAATTTAGTTCAGCACAATATGAGAGGAATGTGTGGACAATGGTTTTATCTTGTATGCTGAAATGGAGCTCACAGAGAAGCCTCTGTGAAAGACTGCAGCACTTGTGCACATTTAGAAAAGGGCAAATAAGCACCTTGAAAAATACACCTGTAAAATAACTGTTTATAGTGATTGGACTGAGAGCCTTGCCAGTTTCTGTGACAACATAGCATGCATGAGAGATTTTTCTGTGTTTGTAGGTGCTTGAAAAGCAACAGAGACTTTTTATGCTTCATGCTTCAGCACAAACCCTCATTAGTTCTAAGTCTTCCATTGCATGCTATAATCAAAATTAGATGGATTTATTTGTAGGGTAGAAAACTTGGTATTTGTGGCTCAGGCATTTCACTAAAATACCCTGGTGAAAAATGTCATTCTGGGAAGGATGATCGGCCACCAAAAAAATTATTTGAATATTATAAATCTGTAGAATCTCAACAGGAGATGTGGAGGAGGAGATTTGTAGGTGCCAAAATGTTAGAGTGAAAAGTCTGTTCACATATTAATTCAGAGTTTTTGATTCAAAGATTTACTTGTAAAAGCCTTTGAGCTCAGAACAACAACAATAACAGCAAAAATCAATTATGTGAAGCCTAGTGCCAGAGCTGTGCAGTTTTCCATGTGTATAATAAGAGTCATTCCAGTGGCCTGTATTACAAAAAGCAAATAGGAACCAGGAACATTAAATTACAATGAAGCTTTCATTCCCTTCATGTTAACAAAGCAAACTTGCTGTTAGCAAGGCTCTGTGCATCAGAGAATGAGCTGCCCTGGGGACTGTGTAAACATGGAATACAAATCCAGCTGAGCACAGGGATGGAAGGCTGACATGTGTTTCTAGAGATGATGGATTGATGCTGGCAGGAAGCACTTTCCTTGTGTGGAGCTTTTCATTTTATGGAGAAGCACCATTATTAACTGATGGTTTGGAGTGAAAAGAAAAGGGAAGGAGCTCTGGCACTTTGGATTGCATGGCAGTGTCACACACTGGATACCTGTTGGGATATACAACCAAGATAGGAAACCCAATGTGCTGTTTCTATGAGACTCTGGAAATAAGTGTTGTTCAAAAGGTACATCTTGATCTATAAGCCATTAAAACTGCTTTGTGACTCAAATTTCCACCTCTGTGAAAAAGACCTATTAATGCTTTAGGACTACTTGGAAGTTTGCATTTTACAGGTCCGTTTTTAGTTTTGTGTCATCATACTTTTTGAGGCAGTGTTGTCAGTGAGTCCATAACAAATCTTTTATATACACTTCCTTTTTTTTAAAGAATTATGAGCTGTATCCTTAACTTTATTCTCTTTTCTTGTCTTTATTACTTCTTTCAGATAAAAAGCCATAATTTTTACTTCAGACTGATACTACTTACTGCCTCCTCAAAGAAATTTCAGTTTCTGTTTGAAAAGGAGTTACAGCCCTCACTGTAATGAAATCTTATCTGATTGAGCTTTATCATTTACCTGCTCCTCTTCTGAGGCCATACCACATCTGTCCACCTCTCTGAGATACTTTAGTGTGTGTATACAAAGAGCCTGGACTCTTAAACTATTTTGAACTTGGTTTAAATACTTTTTCTTTCAATTTCTGTTCTAACATTTGTTCTTTCCAAGTTCAAATGGATTTTAAACTAGGGTTTAAAATGCAGCCAGTTGTGCAGGTCCCAGACAGATAATCTTACCTAGACAATGGTTTCACAGGGTTAGGTGGGATATTAGGGAGAAATTCCTCCCTATGAGGTGGTAAAGCCCTGGCACAGGATACCCAGAGCAGCTGTGGCTGCCCCATCCCTGGAAGTGTCCAAGGCCAGGTTGGACAGGACTTGGAGCACCCTGGTCTGGAGAAAGGTGTCCCTGATCCCTTGATGCTTTAGAACCATACTGTACATTGAAATGTGAACTAATGTGGTGAGGAATGCTGCTGTAATCATGCAGTGCAGATTAGATGTCTAACAAGCTTTTGCAGATTGTGATATTCCTTTTAATTTGTTTTGAGTATATTGTCTTAAGTTCTGTTTGCACTAATTTCATACAACCTTTGTTAATTTTCTTAATCTTGTGAAGTGCTCTGCTTTGTTTGAAGTTACCCAGTCTTTAACACTGAGAGGAAGTGCCCTGCTGGGTGCTGGTTCTGGACAGATCTGGCCTCCCTTTTTAATTCCATTTTCATCCCTGTTTGTGTTTCCAGTTCAAATCCACACCAAGTAAGAGTGTCTCAGTGGTGGGCTGGATGGTGATGATGGCAGATGACCCTGAGCATCCAGATCTCTTCTTATTGACTGATTCTGAGAAGGGTGAGCAGTGCACAGAATAAACATTTTCTTTGCTGAGGTCATTTGTCAGCCACTAAACCAGCAGGTGAAAGGTGACATCCTTCCAGTTTCAGCTGCTGTCCAACATGTCATCATCTCCTTTAGAATGCATGGGAGCAACAGCCCATGGAGAATACTAAGAGTCCTCATTGAGTTGTAAGAACTCTCCAAACTCCTACCAACCCCAGATGTGATTTTAATTGGAAGTATTCATCTAAATTCTTTTAAAATATATTTAGAACACTTAGAGGCATTTTCACATGTGTGAAATCTAAGTAACGATTAAAAAAAAGATTCAGCTAACACTAGCTGCTTGAGAGTCCCTTCTCTCCAAGTGAAAACCAAAACCCAAACCATCTGTTCAAATGTGGTGCTATTACCCTCAGAGATCTTGACTGTTATGTGGAGAATCCTGTGGATCTCCATTACTCCAACACAGTGCTTGCTTTCAGCTGAAACTCTGAAGAAAATGTTACTTTTCCACAGCACTTCAAATTGTGCAGAAAGAACATTATTAGAAGTTCTGAGAAAGGAGCTTAAAATTATTTATTGCTTTGTCTGCTTCAGGTCTTAATACATTTTATTTCCAAACATCTCTCCTAGCACTGCTGATATGAAGTATAAATTGTGAATGCTTGTCAGCTTAAACTCTGCAACAGCAATCTGAAATGTTTTTGTAACACTTGACCTTCCTGAACCCAAACAAGCACTGTGTAACTCCAGCCTGGTCTGAAATGTATCAATACATTTAGGAGTGATTTTCTGATATTTTCAAATGTAGCTTTCCAGGGTGCATTTCAGTGATACCTTGCACTTGTTAAAAAAAAATCATGATATTATAAAGCAGTTACAGTAATGGCAGTGAACAAAACCACTTCTGTTTTGAGAGATATTTTGTTCTTTCCTAGTTGAGACAGGCATTAGTTGGAATCTAGAATGTTGGAAAGGAAGAGAGGAAAGCTGAAACTTTTCTTCAATTGGTCGAGCAATTGCACCTATTCCAGACAAAGTGTAAAGTTATATGGACCATCTATTAATAAATCTTCTCATAATATTTCAATTTAGAAGTACTTGAATGTGGGAAGGATTTAAGTGTTTAAAAAAGAGCACTGTTAATGTTTCTTCATCATTTCTTTTTTTTCTCTTTCTTAGGAAATTCATATAAATTTCAAGCTGGAAACAGAATGAATGCAATGCTCTGGTTTAAACACCTGAGTGCTGCCTGCCAAAGCAACAGACAACAGGTGAGAGCAAGGCAGTGAAATTAAATTAAATTAAATGAGCTTTTAAGAGCTCAGAAGTGATGGATCTTCGAGGTGACCAAGCTGTCACTGAGGGCTCTGTGTGTTCCCTGAGCAGCCTCTCCACCCCTTTCATGTGCTGATGGATTTCCCTTGGCTTTTCTGTTTGGCCCTTTGCAAACAAGTCCTCAGAGCTTCTGGAGTAATGAGGAAAGATTTGGGGCTACCTTGAGACTTATTTAAAGCAATTGGGGAAATGCAAGGAATGCTCTAAAATATCTGAGTGCAGTATTTTTGTCTTGCCTTTTTGAAAAAGGCTGTTGCACAATTATATAAAAAGCCTTGAACTGCAGCATTCAATATCAATTCCAGATAAGTCTCCTGAAGTGCCTTTTTTCAGGTCATGGGCATGCACATTTTCTGCTGTGTATGTATTTTGTATTCCTAAAATGGACAGAAAGTAATTTAGCCCTTGGTACATTTTCCAGTCTTTGAAAGCAAAAGTAGCATTTTCTATTAATCAAAAAGGAAGATAAGACTCCAACCCCTATTAAATGCAGTTGTTGTATAAATTCTTACTGACCTTTTTCATCAGCAAAATCCTTTTTAAGTTACTTTGTCTCCCTGAACTCTTTCTTCTCTTTGCACATTTGTTTATGGAGCTCCCAGAGCAGAAATCCTACTGAATTTCAAGGGGAAACAAAAAGGCTTTTCCTGATCCTTCTGTGCTTTCTTGTTCAATTCTGCCTCTGAGAGAGATCTTAAGAAGTAAGAAGGGTTGCAGAAGCTCCTGTGGAGGTATTTGAGACAGTGCAAAGGAGAGAAATTGTGTTCCTGGCTAGAGAAAGTGGGGAAGGTAGCAAACAGTGGCAAAGAGTTTGCAAGTAAGTGGTGGACAACTGTCCTCTAAAGACAGCTCTGGTTCAGTAAGGGTTGGCAATACTGTTTATTACTGTTAACAGTGTAACTGCCTTAAAAAAATTGGATGTTCAGATGTGTTTTCAATGGAATATAAACACCTAGTCTGTTTAATAGTAATAGCTGAATAACAGTAAGAACTATTTTAATAGATACTATTTGTGATTTTAATGGTGCAGCTTTAGCCCAGTTGAGCATTCTTGCTTCTACAGGGAAATGGTAAATGCAGAGCAAGAAATGCTTGATTCATATCTGCCCAAACTCACCATTTATTGACAGTTGTCAGGAATGTGGTGGCTCTTCAATAACCTGACTAAATGAGAGGTGTTAGTGTCAGACAGGTTCCTGATGGAGGGAAAATGGGGATATAAAATAATATATTACAAACATTAGCTTTAATCTCTTCATGAGTGATAGCTGCAACAGGCATTCAGGTTTGGTATGGGAAAAACCAAAGAATTGTTCATGCCTTTTTTTTTTTTATTAGTTTTAAAAAGACCAAGGGGCCTACATCAATCACTGATCTGTGTGCCAAGAATTTTCTAGCTGGGGCTCAGGTGAGAGGGTTCTCCTTGTCTAGCAGAGCTGAGATTAATCATGTTAAGGTTGTTTTGATGACAAATCTTAAATGTCATCAAAATTAAGAAGTTCTACAACCATGTAAGAAAATGGTAACCCTCACAGGAGTTTAATATTTTTATTATACCCGGTGTTTCTGCGCCTCTAAGTATATTTTTCCTGCTGGATGATAGCTGCATTCCTTCTCCCTTTTTTTGAAGACAGAATGATGTGCATTTCAACAAGGTGTCTAGTCTGTGAAACAGTTGAATGCAAGAAACTACTACCTGCAGTAAATTCTTCTATCATTTATATTTTTGTTTTCAGGTTCCTGCCAACTTGATGACCTTTGAATAACAGGCAAATTCAAAACAATAAAAAAGGACAATTTGAACCATCTCATAATTGAGAACAAGGTCCTAATGAAAAATGTGCCAGCTGTATTCTGTGCCAGAACAGAACCTGTCAACTCGATCTCTGAACTCTGGAGCCCTGAACAAAACCACTAAAGGTTGGGGAGTGGAGTTCCCCAAAATTAAAAATGGAGTTGCAACATGAATTGCCATGGACCATGCTTCATTATGTTCTGAGAACTGACCTGTGGAAACCACTGCCTTAAAGAGTGAAAGGAAAAACAACATGAAACACCAAATAGTGTGTGTGAAACTTCTGGCGGTGCTGTGCTTGAGTTAAATAGATTGTAGCTAGTTTTGAGTTTCTTTTAACTTTATACTAATTTTGAAAATAACTCACCTTTTTAGGCATTCTTAAGAAAACAGGTAAACTGGTATTTAAGAGTTGTATCAAAAGCTGTGTATGAACCAGGTAAAAGGTACTACATGTTCTGGAGATGTTGTTTAGGCCTTCCCAGGAGTCCTGGAGGGGAGCTTGTCCCAGGCACACGGCCTGGAGCAGTGTTATTTCTCTCAGACCTGTAAGAAAGGCAACACAGCTGCAAGTTCAGAGCAGCACTGAGCTTGCAAACCTTGGTCCTGTGTGGGAGCCAGACTCCGACAGGGGCACAGAGCTGAGCCAAAAATCAGTTTGGTACGTTTAGCCCTAATTCCTGGTGAAAAACACATATTTGGGGCAGTCAGGGGGGTGTGTGTATGAGACAAAACTGAAAGCACTGTTGGGTCAGAACTGAGTGTTTTCATCCCATGTGTTTCTATGCCTGTGACTCCTTCTCAGAGAAGCTGAATGACAAAACACCAACACCTGGGTACAGCTCACTGAGATGTTTGACTTTGGGTATCTGCTAATTATCAGTTAGGGACCACTGTTAGTGTGTGGTGTTTCATAATATCACTTCAGATGGACATTTTAAAAAGATAGAGGCACAATTTCAAGCTTTCATGTTCTCATTTGGCAATAATTGATTTTAGTATCTGTCTCGGTCAAAGTAGTTGACGTTGTGTGGTGTTGATAACATGGCCTAAAGCAGACCTTACATACAGGAGCTCTTTTGATCTTCAGGCAATTAACTAATTTATTAGAAGGTAGGATAACCTAAGGAGAGAAAAGGTGTGGGGCCATCAAAATTCCATCCTTGACAGGAATCATTCTTGGTCACTGAAATTACTCACAGAGAAAAACATAATGGTTGTAAAAAGGGAGCTGTGCTTTATGTGTGTGTTTGATGCTTAAGACTTTGATTCTTGCTTTATTGGGGTTTCCTTGACGTCACCTACTTTCCTGGATGATTGGTCTTTCTTTAATCTTCAAAAATATGATCTTTGTAAAGCAAGGAAACATTGTCCAAAATATGACTCTGATATTGGAGCTTTGAAGTCTGTGAAAAAGTAGTAACTGTTCCGTTGACATTGTGGTTTAGTGACCGTAAATATGCTTGCAGATTCCACCATGAATTCTCCTTTTTAAACAGAAACAAGCTACCTACCAGTCTGTTTCAGAGTTCTCTGACTATCTAATAAAGGTTTCTACTAGTAGTTGTTATTTTGAAAATGTAGAGTTTGTTTATTGCATCTGAGTAGAAGCCTATAAATTCACATTTGAGGGGTTTTTTTTCCAGAGTCAAATTAATCATGTAATGGAAATGATTAATTTTTGATTTCTGGCAGGCAAAAGGAAAGGTAATCCAGTCTCACAGTAAACAAAACAAAACACAAAAACCCCAACCACTTGTAATGTAAAGGGTAATAGGGTGGTTTATGTTTCCAAGAATTGTTCTGAATTGGCTCTTGGTAGAAAGAAAAACAGTAGAAGGATGCTTCTGTTGGAATTACACCACAAGGACTATGAGAATTTGGCTCCCCTTGCAGTTCTTTTGTTGCTGTTTTTTATGTGGGGAATGAAGTCTGTTCTGAAGTCATGAATTTTGGGAAGGGGTTTCTTGTGCTGAATCCCTCTGCAATTCACACATCTCCCAGGTTTACCCACTTTGGGTGTATAGTAAAGACAACATCCTGACAGCCAGCAGTGTTACTTTAGTAGAATTTGCACAACTTCAGTTTGGGTTTTTTCCATTTTCAAACTTATCTATTGTGATTTCTTCTCAATGACTGTTTGTTTGGGGTTTTTTTAACAATTTGTGTCCTTTTTTTAAGCATTGTGGATAATAGCCTGTAGATTTTGAATTTTTAAATAAGCTATTCTAGGTTCATTGCAGCATAACTGTGTCTGTTCTTTTGTTAGTGAAAGGAAAGATGCAACTGGGAGCCACAGCCTGACAGCCCTCAGCTTTGCTAAGGACAGAGCCAGGTCAGGACGTGTCATTTATCACTGGACTTTTGCATTTTTCCAGCTGTTTTCAGTTTGGTTTTTATGGTAGGAGGATGGTGGGGAAAAGAATTCACAAATTATCCTTTAATGAATTGCTGATACCAGCTTTCATTGTCCTTGGGCCTCCTACTCTTCCTTGTTCTCTGCCCTCAGATCTGCTGGTTTTTTGTGGGAGAGATTGAGTAGTATGGGAGGAGTTTCTTTAAATGTGTAGCCAGGATAACTGGAGTGAGTAATGACAACACAGGAAGTATTTTTGGCACTTGTCACAGTGAGTAGTTCAGAACTTTCCCTTTGTTTATGGCCACGTAGTCCTGCACAAACACTGACATTTCTAGAGCTTGAGCTAAATGGTGCTCACAAAGAGGTGCTGGGTTTGCTCCCTCAGGGAGAGCTGCCTCAGCTAAGCTGTGGAAAGACTCAGACAAGTTAAATGACATACTGTAAAGAATGTACTAATGCTCTTTCTTAAAAAAAAAAGGAGTTTAAAAAGTTAATTAAATGAAAGTATTGCTGAGAAAACAAGGAGAGCAGCGAGCTCATGGTGTTCAGGTAAGGCTGTCGCCCAGACTGCTTCAGACAGTTGGCAGTTTCTCTTTGATTTTCTTTTTAATGTCTTGCTCTAATTGTTTATCTTGTTAATAAGTGCTGAACCACTTCAGCTAATATTTGTCACTTTATCCCTTAATGTTTTGATTTTGAAGCTAAAGATGCCCCTTGCAATTCCTTGTTTTGGCTGCATTTCAGCAAAGATTATTTAGAGTAGCTCTTCTAGCAAGACTTCAAATATGAATGTTAATTATCTGCTGACTGATAACCAGCCTTTTAGCTAAACTAAAAGTTTTGGGAAAGATTAAACAACAGGGAATGTCTGGTTTATGAAATTGGTGCATTGCATTAAAAATATATAACACTGCACTGCTTAGGGTTAACTTTTATCTAATTAATCTCTGCTACTTTTGGCTAGGATTTTCAAACCTGATTTCTATTCCAGTGCCCTTTAAAGCAAATAATTTTTATAACTTTTATTTTTAAAACATTCTGGTAGTTTGAATAAACATAGCTCAGCTCAGACACTTTTTCATTTTTAGATGTCTATTTTATGCCAGAGGAGTATTACTCAAGCTGTTATGATTCAGTAAGTATTTAGGTGCACATTATAGGCATTAAAACTACAAATACTAAATGAGTCACCTAAATACTTAATGAATGAGCTTTAGCACCCTGCTTTAAAATCATGTTTAGAGAAGCATGCACATTGGAAAACATATTGGAAACAAAAGGAAGCATAAAAAAATACAGCAGGGTTTTATTAGTTTTCTACTCCTCACTAGGAATAAATTCATCAAATTTAATGCTTCTTGCAACATCAGCCTCCTGTATTTGCATTCTGTATTTTCAACACTAGTCCTCCTCTATTGGTATCAGACCAAACACATGGTGACAGCAAATCTCTCTCTCCCAGCAGAAGCAGTTGCAGGTTTTTGTGCTGCTGAGGCACATGAGAAGCAGAGGTCTCTTTTGACAAAAGGCAAGTTGATCTTATGGTTTTGATTAACTGTAACAAATATTGTCCAAATGAAGGGAAAAAACATGGGATGCTTTTTCTTCTGGCTGTGTCAGTGGCCTTTTTTTTCATTACTTGTCCTTTTAAATTGTTTGGTATTCTAACTCACCAACACTAGTAGTTCCAACCTTATTCATGGCCAGCTCTTAGTGCTGCCTGCTGTATAAAAACCCCAAGGCTGGTACTAAATCCCATCAGTGAATTGTCTGTTCATCCTACAAGGAGACAGCTGTGAAAGTTTTATTATTATTCTTTAATAGTAGCCTTTTCCTTTAATTTTTCTCTAAAAGCAGGTTGCTCATAAGGTGATTTGGCTTGGGAAAGTTGCCATCAAAAGGATCTGTGTGAGTGGACATAGAATTCTTTGCTAGGGGTTATGCCTTCTTTTACAAACCATCATTCTGATTTGTAGTGCATGAGGAGGGTGAGTGCTTGGATTGGAGCAGGGCTTCTGTCAGTGCCTTATTATGAACTTGAAGACCAATTCCTTTATTTCAGTGGTGAGTCCCACCATGGCAGACTTGCAGGCTGTGTCCTCAGTGTTCCAAGGGGTGACATTCCTGACAGCCACTGCATTTCTGCAGCAGTCACTTGTTTTGGTCAGTGTAAAATAGCTGTGGCTTCAGTTGCTTTAGTATTATTTCTGTCTTTGAATAGCCTCTTTTTAGGAAAAAATGCAGAGGTTTCTGGTAGCTTGGGCTTGTTCAACTTTTATCAGAAGTAGCTCAGACCTCTTAAAAATTAACTTATTTTTATTTTGGTATGTCTCTTGAGTAGATTTAGTGAAGGGGGGGAAATGAAGAGCATAGTCCAAGTCATGGTCTAGACCACATGAGCTCAGGAGCTCTCATTGTTAGAAAGGAGCTTGCTTTGTCTGTCCCACTCTGATACAAACACTGAGGAGCATTCTTAGGAGGCAATTTATCTTGCAAGCTTTTTGTTATAAATAAACACCACAGGAAAAAACTGTTTGGGGAAAGAGGAGGCTTAGCTAAATCTCAATATCCCAAAAGCTCAGTTTTGTATGTTGTATTTCTGGTGCCAACACTGTGTAGGGAGCACTGTCCTTCACTGAAACAACTGCTAGAGACTGTTTTAGCAGCAAAGACTTCAGAAGCTTTGGAAGGGGAAATGAAAGAAAGAATGTGTTGTTCTTAAGCAAGTAAATATTTGTTTTCCTGGAATATATCCTTATAAAAACACAGCAGTTTTACTATAGTCTTTTTATAAATTCAGATGTTGGAAGGCTAATTTGAAAATTAATCTTCCTCTTTCTAAGAATACTCAAAGAGAGCAGAAAAGTCAGAAGAGAAAATACAAATTACTTGGTGTAGCTCTGGCTGTTGCAGAGCTGAGCTGACAAGTTTTCTCCAAGTTACTGAGTTGCTAAGGAAAAGAAGGTGTATAAAAACTAGTGAAATGCAAATTCCTGCAGATCATGGCACAGTTCTGGCTGGTAGCCTGGTCTTGCTCTTGAGTGACTAAAATCACCATAAATACTCTGTTTCCTTTGTGTGTTTGATTATTATTATTTCTTTTTATTTGGGTGGGTTCTGGCCTTAATGTGTGTTTGCTGAAGTAATTTCTTACCATTCCAAAGCTGTTCACAGCTGAAACTGCAAAGCAGACAAGCAGTATAAATCAATTCAATGTTGAAATAAAGGGTTCTGGGGTGCCTGGTTTACTGGCACTTCTGGCTCCTTGTGTGCAGGAGAGTATCCATTCAAAAACTACTGTACTGGAGTGGGAGAAGCACCAGGAAACATGGAAGTGTTTTATAATAATCCTGTAAGGACCAGCCATCCCTGGAAGGGGGATCAAGGTGTCATGCAGTAAACACAAGCCATTTTTAATGTTCCTTGCTGGTGTGAGGCATTCCAGGGATGGAGGGATTGCACTATGATCTCTCTGAGTGATGTGCAGTTTGGCTGTCCTCAAGCCTCTTCCTTCACCTTTTTTAATACTTTGTTCTCTGTGTGTGTGTGTGTGAAAATTGTGTGTTTGCATAAGCTAGTTTAATTGAATTTAAGAACAGGTTTCAAAAATCTTTCCTACTGAAATAAATGATTTAAAAGATGGCCTGTGTCTGAGGTTTTAATTTCTCCTTTAAAAAACTGCATCCAAACTCCAGCTAGGTGTAATCTGACTGTCTTTTGGAATGGTGCTGAGATCAGCTGGAATTTTAGTGGCATTTTTCAATGAACCTTTGAAATGAAACATGTAAAGATACCATTGTCCACTGGTGCAAAGGAAATCTAAAGACTAGCAGGGAAGTACAGTTCATTGAAGAGATGGAAGTCTGGTCTCAGAGATCTTTCTGTTAAATGATGTGGTTTTTCTCTCCTTGGTAGTTTATCAGATTTTTTTTTTTGTCTGTTGCTTCTATACTTAAAGCTGTGGTAAATTTAAACTCACTGAAAGCAGTCATCAGGCAGATTGGCTCTTAAGGAGCAACTACATGGAAGAGAAATTGAAAATGAAGAATGGATGAATAGCATGCAAAGTCTTGTATTTCCTTAGCTGTGTGTTTGGTGTTGCTTCCCTACTCTCTGTGCCTTTGTAATGCTGTGAAGCCTTACTGATCATACAGCCCTGGGGGAAATGCTGTGAAATGCTTGTCAGAATGTGAGCCTTGGGCTC